TTTTTTTAGACAAATACATATAAGCAGACTATACTATATAATAAGCCATGCAGCTGAAAGTGTGTGCAGAGAGCATTAAAAATGGAGAGCTAAATACAACATTGTCACTAGTGATGATTGTCTAACACCAACTTACGTTTTTTCTTTTCATTATTTTTTCATTTTCTATCTGCTGTCATACACACTCTTGTCCAGATAATCCATTATCTCTGAAACCACTGAAACAGAGGTACCTACTTAAGGGTTTCTACGGGGTTTACTGCTAACAACTTTCTTTATCTTTCACTGCATCCAATTCTAGGACAGAACAGACCAGCTGAATACATTAAAGAGGGAAAGATGAACATGGAGGAAAGGAGGTGGGAGCAGCTGCACGAATGAAAGAACATTGAGCCTAGTTTTAGGGGGTCATAACGCTTCTCGCTTTGCTGGTTCTAGTCAATCGGTTAAAGGTGGCTGTGTGTTGATTGACAGATTCGCACAATCAGAGAAAGCTTTAAGAACAGGCGCAAAGGAAGGAGGATAAATCCCATCACTTAGTGACATGGCTGCCATCTTAACCATCATGGATGTAGATGGACTGAGGATGAGACAATCTGCCCTTTCCCCCCTTTACATCCAATCTCCGGATGGACTTACGTGAGAGGTGTAAGGAGAAGCTGTGACTTTAAACATGGAACGGGTAAAAAAAAAAGCAATTCCTTTTTTTAATGCGAGTTATTATCTGCCGTACTGTAAATCAAATCCCTACCGTGTATTATAATGTATGAACAAGAGCGTATGATCCGTGTAGGGAGTTGATTGAATCCATGCCGCTAAGACGGATGGAGACCTTGGATCGCCCTACGGTCGGATATGAGTTTCTAAAGTCTAAATCACGGTTAAGCTCCAGATGCTCACAAGGTAACCGGGTCAATCATATATCCCAGTAATATGTTTATTTCCTCAATCATCTTTGCTTCACCTAGCCACACCTCCGCTGGCCTACAGCTGATTGTATCCCCACTAAACTTAACTTTTCATGGTGTTACCATTACAACGCAAACCGCATATTTAGTTTGGCCCAAAATGCCACAAGATTCTGGAAAAAGTCAGAAAAAAAAGCCCATGTAGGGCAACTGAATGGAATCACATTGACATTTACAGATACATTACATGAATTTCAATGGAAAAGCCACACAAAGGAAAAGCACCATAAGGACGGAAGGAGAAGCATTCCCATAGTCAAGAGGCTAAATCCAAACACCAACTCTACAATGCAAAATGTGGTTGTAGCATAATAACTTTTGAAAAGGTGTAAGGGATTTGAATACTTTTGTGAATGAACTGTAAGCGACAGCAGCTTTTACATACGTGTCATAAAGTCCATCCGAGGCCGGTAAAAGAGTCGGTCCAACTTTCGCGACCTCAGTGGGCTTGTAAACACCGATCAGGTGAATTACTTATTGACGGCACATTGGTTTCAAACTGTTTACAGGCCACAAGCAGCTATAGTGTACTTAATGAAAAACTTTTCCACTAGAGAGGCCCGATCAGTGAAACCCAGAGGAGACTAATTCTTCTCACACAGAGGACATTAGATCACAAGCTTTTAGTCACACTATAAACCCACAAATCCGGTCAAATCCAGCCGATTCCCTCGAGTTAGCATCCGCTGAGAAAGATTATACTACAGCTTCCCTGGGTGGAGGGGACAGCATATATATAAAAAAAAAAAACACATCAGCCAAAGTGACCTCTGATTGGATTAGTGTCTTCTGGTCTAGTAAGGCGCCTTCTCCAAAGTCTTTTTCATCTTTTTTTAATTTTCCTACATTTCCCCTCAGATGTACACAAACAATTCTCCTGCGACAAAACACCCGCTACTTTCACCTTATTTTCATTTTTTTTTTTTTCTGCACAGCATTATTCTCCAGCCTAGCCTTCTATCTACAGTGTAATTACTGATAACCCACAGGAACGCAGCGGCCCTGGATTTTAGATGCAGCGAGGAGACTGAGAGATTAAATTTAATCCAGCTATACTTTACAAAGGTGACCTTTCTGCAAGATGGTTTCATTTTTTTGTTGCCCAGTGATGCAACTGGATTAGAGAATTATTGAAGCAGATCGAGAAAATTGTCAGTAAAATCTCATTTAACCTATTTGTTTGTTTACTATTTTGTTTATTTTTAGGCCTTAAAGGCAAAAAGGAGCTCAGCTAAGCATCTTCCTGGTCCGCTTTGTAAATCAAAAGAAGCAGGTCAGATCAGGGAAAGAAATTGACTACCAACAGCGAGAGAAAGAGAAGCTCCCTCAGGGGATCTACCATCTGTCACTCCAAGTCATTTGCACCTGCTGCCGCGGTGGCATTTCCTGTCTAAGACAACCTTATGCTTGAAGTCAGACTAAAAGAGCAGTTTGTATGCCGAGCAAGCCCACGAGTTACTAATCTGATCGGCAACGTGTCCGCCTCCGCCCTTCACGTCGCTAACAATTAAGAAGTTAAGAGGTTGCGGTCTTTCCCTCTTCATACAGATGGGAACACTTCCCAGTTTGTACAACGCACACGAAGCTGCGTTATCTGCAGACACGCCGGCACACAGTCGTCATGTTATATCTCTAAGATGTGTTACTGCCGGTATCACCATAGCGACAAACAAAACAGGCTATGTTGCTGAGGTCTATTAAAGTTGCACCACTTAGAATAATCGCAATACACCATCGGTGGCGCACTCCGGCAGCAAACCCAGAGAGACTCGGAAAGCCCGAGACGAACAAAAACAAAAACCCACGGCTGAGACACTGACGGGATGGGAGGATTAAAACTCATATTGATTGAATAATTTTTGAGTCTTGTTTCCTCTGGAAAGAAAGCTGCAAAGGATATAAAATAAACAATTGTATTTCTTGTGCTTGTTTTACAGCACTTGGGTCAACTGTGCTGTTTTTGAAGTACTTCAAAATGAAGCTGGAATGGGATGGACAAAGCAAAAAGATTTTTGCTCTGGCGAGACAGTCGGTACAAATATAGACTTTCAGGTAAGGTTTAGTTTGAACAGGTTGAGAGCATAGAAATACTTTTACAAGAAGCAGCGACTGGCTAAGCTGACTGACTTCTTTCAAATATCTGTTAAATTGGGTCTCTGCAGTGGAAAGTCAGTCCTATGGTGAGACTTACCAATAAATTGCGTGTGCGGTGGTAAGGCTGAATGATCGGTAAGCCCAGGGGTGTCACCCACTCCACAGTGTGGCCACACTTGGAGATGAGCCTGGCACTTTCTGTCAGCCAGTCCTGCAACAGAACGACACCAGCAGTGGTGAAAAACAAACAAAAAAAATAAATAAAAATACTTTCAGTACCCGGCATCCGCTAAATATTTGCCATGCGCATATGGTCGTATCCATGCTTGCATGTGCGTGTTTGTGTATGTAGACGTGTTCAAACGACTGAGTTCACTGAGATAAAGCTTTCATGGTCTGCTGGATCAAAATTTAATAAATCGGACCCATAAATAGATCCTCTGGTACATTTTCAACCACAGAACACAGAAACTTCAGCCAGCTACTGCGTCAAGAAACGATCCTTGGCTTTCAGCCCTAAATCTGCTGCTCTGCTTTAAAGAGAGGCCAACAACTGTGGCGGCGTTGTTGTGGAACAGGTCAGAAGCTGTTGCTCGCTACAAAACCTGCAGCAATCATGTCTGCACAAGTGTCTGAAGCCATTTTCCCAAAAAGAAAGCTTTACTGCCTCACCACACAGACGCACGCAAACAGAAAGATTTGTGCTACAACAAAGAAATAGAATTTTACAATTGAAGCAACTCAAGTGTCTCTGCAAAATAAAGTATTTGAAGCAAAGACACTAAAGTAAAATTAAGTAAATTCATGGAGGCTAAAAGATAATGAATGTGAGAACTGGACACATGGTCAAAGCAGTATCAAACTCATTTTCATTTTGGCCCATGTAAAGATCACAAGTCATCTTCCTAACTTTTATGTGAGTGATATTAAACTCATAAATCTTGTACAGTATATAACAAAGTACATACTGTTGGTTGGCAACAAAAATGTTGGGAGTTTTTTTTTTTTGTTTTGTTTTTTTTTGTTCAAGGTTTGATGTAAAAATAAATAAAGGGGGAAAAAAACAACAACACATTTCAATATTTGACCCCCACATCACTGATCATAGACAATTTGATTGGCAAAACAACTAAATCCAAAACATGAAATTGTTATTTTCACTCACCATCTTCATTTTTATGAAACATTACCTAAATCAATTGAGTTTTTGAATATGAAGGTACCGATGCTAGGATTTAAATTTAGGATCAATTTTAAAATTAATGTTGAGTTAGTTTTTTTGTCATAGTTTTAAACATATTTCACAATGAAAATTGACACATATTAAACAGCAAATGTAAGATCTGACAAGGTCTGATAAGGCGACTGATAAGTAGCAACCAGCTCCCAACAAAGAGGTAACAGTGTTTGCAGTATTTATAGCAGTTCACAATATAAGTGCTGATTAAGTCCTTCAAACTTCAAACAAGCATAAATTTAAGATGAATGCATGTTTTGTTTAACTGCAAGGCGGACGGTGGGTTTATTTGGAAACGTTTCTCTTTTGTCTTTTTCAGTGAGGGAAAACAGACGGAGGCACAATGTCTAACAATTGTTAGACTATTAGAGTAAAACACCAGCTAAATGTTTGCATGGTTGAAACTGGCTCACCTGAATCTCTCTGGTTCCCGTAAACATCTCCTTTAGGCCACTGAACACCAGGCGCGTAAGGTAATGAGACGCGTCCCATACATGGTCCTGAAACGCAAGACAATAACATCCTTTTATTCACGCTATATCTAAATAATTCATGAAATTATTATTATTATATTTTTTTTGTTTGGCTCTTAGTTACTATTATTGTTGAACTTAATGTAGCAAATCCAAAGTGTAATGGAAATAATGGATATAAATTGCAGGACATTGGACTGCATTTATCCTCATATTACAGGAACATGATCTCCACAGTAGGTGCTACCTCCTGCTCAAAGCACATCCCCACCGTAATCAGTCACAATTATAGGCCCACCCAATTCCCTGCTAAAACCAATACAGGATATTAAGCAGAAGTCATTTAGAGCACTGCTGTGAGGTTTATGTGCCGGGAGGCGTTCTGCTGATGCCCTCTATGTGAAATGCGTCATTTCCTTCAAGTATTTTTAAGATTAAGTTAACTGTAGGACAGATAATAAGCACTGAATGTTCTACAGACATCCATTCGTGTAATTATTCACATGAAGTCCTTTTATGTCCAAAGAATAGAGGTCCTGAACTAAAATAAAAACAGATTTAACGTAAATATATAGACACAATATCAAGCGGATGAAAATCTTAAACAGCTGAAGTGCATAAATGTGGAAAACAACGCGTCCGACTCGTTTTGCCAAGATTTGATTTCTTCATTTCTGGCCTCGAAACTGCCCTGGATCAGTAAACAACAGCCGCAACATGTTTGCACTCAGCAGACATTCGCTGCACTGTTCAGATTATGACGGGAGAGTCACTCTGCATAACCAGGTGAAAATGCTTTTTCCATGTCAGAATGAACGAACGGAAAAACCTGGAAACAAATGTTTTTTTGATGCATTTCCATATTTTCCAGACAACACAGAAACATCAGAAATTTAAAGCAATCAAAAAAAAAAACCATTGCTACTTAAAGGGCCTGAGTAAAACAAGATCATTTGCTTGTTCTCTTTGTTTAATTTGTTGAACATGAACCATATGTAGGAGTATTAATCTCAAACGGAAAATATGCTTTATAACAGATGAATTCATTGCAAAGCCTCAAATTAATTAAATTGATTTAATTAAATTGAGTCCCACAACTAATTTTCAGGTCAGATCACAATAACAAAAACGATTCAAGGTGCAATAATGCTTCCTGTGCAAGTAAGAAAACCTGGGAGGAAAAAGGAGGAAACCCTCATCGTGACATCACATTGATTAAAGGCTAAAAATACAAGTGTGTTCGCTGTACACACTGCTGTACCTTGGGAAACTCATCAATCTCCTTTAGCCTCTTCTCGATCTGCAGGCGCCCTCCGTAACGAGTGACTCCGTACACCACAGTCATCACCGTCTGTTTGACCACCTTCCTGCTGATGAAGCCCTCCAGAACCTGGGCGATCTTCAGGCCTTTTGCAGCATCCCGAGTTCGCAGCTCTTCGACCTGAAGCACATTTTTTGGGAGATAGAAAAATGTCTTCTGTATCAGTCAAGCTATTAAAGGGAATTTGAGAATATAGTGCATTGCTAAAGCTGAGATATGTTAACCCTTTGTCTTACTACAAACTCAAGCTTCAATGGAGTTAATTGGGATTTTATAAAAGGGACATAGTGGATGCATAAGATGCATCTTAATCCCCGGATAATCCACATATTTGCACATCTACATTGCAAGAGAACACTAGGTAATATTTAAAGAGATCACACTAAAATCCTGCTCAATGTCTCACGTTTTTGTTTATGCTTGGGAACTAGTCAACTCTAAAATATTTCATATATTCAAAATATTTCACAAACACATCTTACCATCTGAGATGCATAGCACTGAAAAATTCATTAATGGATTTAGAACCTCATGCGTAAAACTGCTACATCCTAAGTCCACAAAGTAATACTATAGCAGATCCTTCCTTCCAGCTGCTGTAAAACTATAACCATCACTGCTCCAAACTCAAGAAGTTTATATTCCTATTATTTTTTGCACATCCTCATTGTTTTTTTTTTCACTTCTTGTATGTAGTATATTATTTTTCAATGCACACATATATAAGAATATTTAGTTTTTTCTTCAAATTATCAAATTCAGTTTCACTTTTTTAAATCTTGGTATGCTGTTTTTAATAATTGTACAGTACATTTCTCCTATGTTGTAAATTTGTCCTTACTGCACAGTCTAATTCTTATTTTTATGTACTTTTTTAAATTTGTATGAATATGCATGCTTCTACTTAGCTTTAACTTGCTGCTGGTACATCTGAATTTCCCCACGTTAAATAATATTTTTATTCTATTCCATTTGGGACATACAGCTCTCACTGTATGTCCCAAATTACGTGGTTATTACCTTATGAATAAGAAAGATTTTTATTTATTTATTTCAGTGTGGTCGTTTACTGTTTCAACGCTTGATGTCATAAACAGTATAATCGAATAATAACTGCAAAGCCCAGATGAAGACAAAGCCCACCAAAGCAGAGTTCTGCAGCAATCTCAAATTTATAGCGTTCAGTGTGAAGTTACAGTCACTGCCCTTAGAGGAGCAGAGGCTTGTCCTTGGTTCAGTTCAAATCCTGTTGTTCTGAAATGCCAGAAAGTCACAACTGGGACCAATTTAAGTGTTTCTGCAACCTGGGTGCTTTCATGCATGCACACACATAAACTTTAAAAGAATAACAAAGTGTCTTCTCTCTCCCCTCGACTTTGATGCAGAGCAAGAGGAACTAAACACTTTTAAATGCAAGACCTAAACTTAGAAACTTAAAAATATTCTCCATGCTCAGCTTGTCACTCACTTTGGGACTTAGTGAGTCATCTGAATAATAACCACTGAGCAACTGCAGCGTGCCTCGTAAAATCCCGTCTCCTGTTGTGTAACGTCAGGTTTTTGCAGAGTACAGGCTGGAACTAAATGCTGGCAAATTGCACAAAAAGCCCACCACTGCTCACCTGCTGGGCTACGCCGCTGTACACATCCTGGGGCACCTCGCAGGGCATGAGGTTGACTGAAGTCGCACCGATAACGTCTCTGCCAAGAGCTGCGTAGTGCTGGAGGCCGTTGCAGGAGCCGTCCTGAAAAAGAAAAAGTGAAGGACTGAGTATTCATTCCTTCACTCACTCATTCAACCTTTATTTATAGTGAAGACAAATAATAATATTAAACAGTTTCACAGTCTGTAGTCACATGCATTTTTAACCCTGTTTATGCCTCAAGCAATAACCAACACGACAACACCAAGTAGAGCTGTCAAAATAAAATGACAGGAAGATTTGCTAAAGATAATATTTCCTCCTTTGAGACACCTGTTAGAATGTCTACAAGTAATTTTAAAAGTTTTTTTTTTCTTTTTTCTCAGTACCTGGTGAACAGGAAAGTGAGAGACAAACTTAGTTGGATCCGGTGACCGGACTGCGTTGGCGATCTCCATGCAGCAGGCCAGTGCCTGCCATGGCTCATCGGCCTCCATCCACCATTTTTTGCCCTAAAAAGAGACAAAAAAAGGCACACACATAACAGATTGCTTTGATAAACATATGCAGAAAATACTGGTTACTGTTTGTTGTACAATTAGAGTATTTAGTCTTTTTAAAAACATCTCTATCAGCAGGGTTTCTGCATGTTTCACCAACTCATACTTAAGACCACTATGAAAGAAATGTAAGACCTATATCTCAGAAGAGACGTATGAACTTTGTCCAGCCAAGTGGCAATAACGTTGCCAGTTGAGACCCATAATAGACCCCAAAGGTCAACTTTTGGGTCTACCCCACAACAGTGTGGTAGACCCAAAACTCTTGCTAGCTCGCTAGCAGTGAGTTAGCAGTAGCCTCAAACATTTTGAGTCAAAAAACTTAATGAAGATGTCCGAGTGACTCAGGCTTTTGCATGACAGAAAAGTCCCACAAGAAAAAGAATAGATAAAATATATGAGACTAAATAGTCCTGTCAAGACTAAGACATGTGATTAACTTATTAAAGACCAGCTTTTGTTTTTCAAATGAATATAAGATATTTGAAAGACTTAAATTCATTTAAAAAGTAAGTTGGCCTTCAATATGTTAATTACAGGTCTTAAATGTTGTCTTTCCGTTGCTGTTTGATTTTGTGTATTATGTATCTAATACTAAGACAATTTAAAGACTTACTTTTAGATGGATTAATTTAAAACTTTTTGAAGATGCGCGGACACCCTCTACCGAGCCAATTATAATTTAACACACTTTCGATCAAACAATGAAGGCGATCAAAACAATGAAGGTGAACTAACGTTCAGAGGGTCATCTGCAGAGTCCAGGATGTCCTCCATGATGCTGTCGGCGTATTCCAGACGTCCCTGCAGTGAGCTCCTCTTCTTCAGCCCCGTCAAGTTGACCAAGTGAATCTTCAGCCAGTCCAAACCCTTGGGACCAAGAGGCTTCCCCTCAGCGAACACGAGCGTCGCCCGAGTCACATCACTCCCCAAGTGATTGAAATACGGGGGACATGGGTAGGTGCGGCCCCTGAAGTCCATGTTGTGGGGAAACCAGAACAGCTTGTCCCGCATGTGGTGGGCAATGGAGAGTTTATAAAGAGCGTCCATTCGCAGGCTGTGCATCTCGCTGCACTTCTTCTTGGCATTGATCACCTCTCGTTTCATGTGTGCCTTCTCGCTGGCTGTGTAGTCGGGGTCTTGAGGGTTGAAGTGGGGTATTTTAGGGGCTTCTGACAGAGGCGGAGGGATGTCCAGCTTATCGCTGCCCCGGTCGTTAAAGATCGAGATGATTATGTCCAGAATTGGCTTGTTGACCCTCCAGGCGCAATTACTCAACTGGTTGAGCGAGTCAAAAACCGGGTGGAGATTCGGACACTTCTCCAGCAGTTCCTCGTGCTGCGTGGCCCCGTGCGTGGCGCGCATCAGCTTGGCCGGGGTGAGCAGGTAGGCGCCGAACTTCTCCGATGTCCACGGCACCGGAGGGCACAGCATCGGCATCACTGACGAGTCAAAGGTCAGCGTGGTCTCCATGGCTTCCTGCTGCATCTGTGTCAAGATGGGGTGTGGCTTGATGAAGCCAACCTGAAGGGAAAACCATGTGAAATGCAAGTGGAGTCTGAACTGATATGTAGGAATATTTGAGTTGCTCATAGAAAGAAAAATAAATAAATAAAAATCAGTAAAATAAAAAAAGCATTTTAAAAAAGAGCTTGAGGCTTAATTGCTTCTCAAAAGTTTAGCAAATTGTTGTTGCCACCAATTGGTTTTTCTTTTACACATCTATCCAGTCCTGGGAAATACCTACAGTTCTATCAGACTTTCCAAGAATGCATAACGCCATATTTTTAAATTATTTTACTCATATAAATATTCCCTTAAAGTTTAATGTAAAATATCTGTCAGAAGTCGTTGCTAGAGCAGATGGCTCGAGTAGGTTTGCTGTTATGCATATTGGGTCTGACTTTACTTAACATGCGTGAAGCAGTGAATAAAAAGAGCTTCATTTGTTGACTGTAACCTGACAGAAACACCTCAGCGTCACTCCAATGACTCAAACCTTCACGCTGTGCAGTAAAATCATTAGGATCCCCCCTGATGGGTTAATCACTGTGGAGAAAAGGGTCTGAATCTACAAGAATAGAAAATTACACAAGAATTAAACTTGACTAGAGTATGTCTCACTGTCAAAGCGCATCAAGCTCAGCAACCCACACATCTGCCCGCTTCTCCGAGCGTGGTCACCTCAGCCTGCTGCAGGCTCCCACGGCAGTAAATCAGCGAGCCAATTAAGGGGACGCTGGAAAAAAAAAGGGATTAGGCCGGGCCCTATTCATCTTACTCATCTGCTACCACCACCATTCCCCACCAGGGGAAAGTGGTTTTTATAAATCACCCTCCTAGGAGCTTCATGCTGGATAGAAGGGCGCTCAAGTGTTCAAGGTAACAGGCTTTCTGAACAATCTTTGTGACAAAAGTGAAGGTCAAGTTCTTAAAGGTTGCTCTTTTTGTTTCTACTCCTTATTTCTTTGTTCATGAAAAGGTCAGCTGTACAGCTAGTTCACCGATAACTTTCTCAATTACTTAATGTAATTGTGTATAATTATCCCTAATTTAGGAGCTAATTTGACAAATTGGGAGGGCTAAAAATGGAACAGGTTTGTTCATTTGTTCTTTTATTCTTAATCCTCTGGAGAGCTTTTTCAGACAAGTTTTCAAAAACTTCTTTAACTTTTACTCTGAGTCACTAAAATAAGAATCCCAAACATCTGCACCTAAACAGTAGTGATTTTTTAAAAAGGTTCATGTGGCTCTATACCCTGCGCAGCATGTAAATGAGGGTGGCACAAACCCTTAAGAACCTACCTATACGTTTTTTTAATCAATTTCCAACAGATAACGACTAGCATAGCATGAATCAAGAAAGCTGTCAGCACACAAATTCAGATGTTTGACACTGTGAATGTATAAATCCAAACAGATTTCCTTTGTATTTCTCATTACCTATCACAACATAGTGACATCTATGAGTATCACAACATTTTATTTATTTATTTTTTTTATAAATGTTACATACTGCAGCTTGAAAAATCTATAAACCTAGGCAGATACTTCCACTGTCAGGTTACTGGCTCAGGGTCAGCTAGCACAGACCTGATCAGTTTTTGGCATCCTGCTAAAAAGTCGAGTGCGTGTCCAGCAGCTTTATGGTTACAGCTCGTTGCAGCGCCGCACTCCAAGACAGGTTGTGGTTCTCAGCATAATTTCAACATGATTCCTTTGGAAATCTAAAATCATCACAGTGGGTCAGTAAATGCTCTTAGTCTCTAAAAAAAATATATATATAAAATTTTCTTCATACTGCCGCATTTGCGGTATCCTCTAATAACGACAAACACAATTCCTAGTTTAACCACTAAGGGTGACCGATAACCGTTGGCGTCAGGCTGTGCACATTTCCACAGTCCCTTGGACGTTCATCTAAAGTTCTGTGTGGAAAACAACCAACATGTTTCGAATCCAGTGGTGTTCTGCTTTGTGTAAGACTGACTCATCCTCCACCCGCCCCCCCCAACCTCACAAATCAAAATGATGTTCTGCATTTTCTTTGGTTTTGAAAAGTTAAAATTGCATTACAAACATCAATGCTGTAACTGTCTTTAAATGCAGATTATGCAGAAAGTTTGCAGCTACAAGAAAGTTCTCTCTTTTTTTTGTGAAAAGAGTGGAGTTGATACTTTGTGAAGCTTGCCCAAGTAAATTTCAAGTAAGGTACAATTACATCAGAGAGGCTGCACATAACAAAGTGGGTCTGTACCTGTCTGGTGCTGCGGAAGGTATACATGTGGTAGAGGATGGGGATGAGCTTTTTGTCATAGGCGGGGTTCAGGATGTCACTGTTAATTTTAAGATTCTTCACCATTATGTCCACAATGAAGGTTCCCAGCTCCAGCATTAGAACATACGGCCAACTTGTCTCTGCGCCCTGTAGCGTGGGTCCTGAACTCTGCTCCATCTCCAGTTTGCACCACTGCTCCCTTGGAAGGACATTGCACACCTGAAGGAAAACACCAGAACCTTTTTGACACTTTTATTTAAGTAATCTGCATAAAGATTGCTAGCTTTGATGCACATCTACTAGCCTCAAAATTGGTGCATGGAAAAAATAAACATGCAAACTAATAACAGAGACAAGCAAGCAACACTTTTAGATGAGTTGCCTTGAAAAAAAATTATAATTGGCATTGTTTTAAACAACAAAGTTTGCATATAAATGACCTCAGATGGCAAAACAAGTACCTTAATAAACTTCCTCTCTTCCTAACAGGAGTTAAACAAGCATCCGGCTTGTTACAATTGTGATATTTTTAGCATCTTCCCAAGGGCGTATGAAGCCATCAAAACACAAAGTTAGGGACAAAGAGTGCAAACTCTCATTAAAGCAAGACAGTAAGTCAAATATTTCTCATTATCTATCACAAGATCAAGATGTAACAGAGCTGCTTGGTTTGCAAAGACAGAAAGATGCAAAACTTCATAACAATGTTAGATAAAAAAAAACAAAAAAACATCTTGTTTTTTCCAATCAGGGCTAAACTGAAATCCAGAGCACAAGCGCAGAGTGCAGTCCACAATGCAATGAAAACAAAGTGTTAAATATGACTAACAAAGCATAAAACATTGTTTTGTGGTGGGCATGGTTAAGCAGCAAATTCACTCCAAAGTCATTGGAAATGTGCAACACTAATGGATGCTAAATGAGCTGCACTCATAAGGACAATTGATATATATGCAATATGCAGCATTACTGCAAACTCAGAAAATGTGTAACTGTGAAAGTTTTAGTTCAAATGAGAGATTTCACAGAGGAGAAATTAAATAATTTTTACACTATAAGAAGATTGTAACAAAAACTGATTTTTTTTTTTTTTTTTACAATTTAAAGCCTTGTCCCAATGGACCGTTAACATCAACCATTCAGCAGCAGCATGTTGGGTTCCTGATTCAAATTTACTTTGGATTTACCACATGTACTAAATTCATTAAAAGGAAAAGTCGACATATAATTTAATTGACCTAAAAATTTTGCCAACATAGGTTAGACAATTGTATCTATGCATTTAAAGGTAAGCGCTGTAAAGCACAGTGATATTCAACATTAGTGTCTAGTTTAAAAAATATTGTTTTTGAAAACAGGAACTCCCACCTACTCCTGTTATTTAAAGATAACAGGAAATATCATCTGTCACAGCTGGAAGTGAAAAGAAAATTCTGGAGACATTCACCAGTAGAAACTGGTTAGCACCATCTTCAATGGCTGCACATTCCTGGACAAAACCTATTGAAGTACTACCATACTGGCAGACGTCCACCCTGTTAATCTGATTTAGGACTGGCTGCTGCAGTGGAAATGATATGGGTTAAAAGAAAATAGCCAGTTTTCTCTGAAAGATTAACACAGTATAAATATACATTATCTATTTTATATATCATTCGCATAACAAACTAATCTTCTCAGGATTTAGGATGTAAAAAAAATCTAATATATAATTATTTATTTTTTACCTTGGTATCTTTGGCCAGCAGTTCTGTGTAGGCACCATAAATACTTTGCAGCTTTTCTACAATGCAATTCTGGTGCTTCTGTCTCACACAGTACTTGGTGTAGATTCTGTTGCCCAGATCATGAGCTAAAATCTTCAGGGACTCCCCACTAGGAGGCAGGTTAGAAACACTCTGCAGAAAATACAGAAACTTTAGTATTTAAAACACACATAGTAATAAATATAAATTGGAAACTTTTATTATTATCTGGTACAATACAATGAAACACATTAAGTTTGTACTGCAAAAATGACATATTTTTCCTCTGCATCCATGACATTTCTTTCAAACTCAGGGAAGTCTTAGTGACATTGTGGGCTTGAGACATTTTGTTATGCGGTCGGTACAACGGGCTCGCGTTACCTGTATCATAATGTCAACGTACTCCTTGTCCTCCAGCAGACAGAGATATGGATAAAGGTTAAGCTTGTAGTCCCTGGTGTTGGTTTTGGTCAGGATCATCTTGTTCTCCCTGAGCGCCTGGAGGAGAACCTTCTGCCACTGTGCCCGCTGTTCTGCCAGCAGTTCCCTCTGAGAGACAACACAACTGGAAGTCATCCACCGGAGAGAGCAAAAATAAAACGATCCCAACGCAAGAGACAAAAACACACACCAGGTATACTTTACTGGAGTCGCTGTGTGCGTGGGATATTGTTAGGGATGGTTTGGTATAACAATTTTACTGATGAAAGTGGGAAAAACACATTATGCATCTTTCCAAAATGAGATTTTGAAAAATAAAAAAACTGGGATAGGCTTATTCCAAATAGACTCGTGGATAAACAGACAATGCAAATGAGGATAGACTCATTTTCCTGGATATTTGACTCTGGAAAAAGGAGATATAACACAAACAAACATATTTGTATCCATCGGTTTGGAAAACCAAAAAAAGACTAACAGACAGTAAAGCCTTCCATTTTATTTAGCTATGGTACAATTAAGATATTGATTTTACTTAAGTAGCAGCTTTTATAAATCTTAGACTGATGCAGCTTAATATCTCATCTAAATGATGCACAAACAAAATAAATTTTAAATTTGATTTGGTCTTGAATGCATCCAAAGATGGAAAGTATATGAGAAATGAGGACAGATTGTAAGGGAGTGGAAAACAGATGAATGCAAATGCAACGTGATTAATTTATGCATGTGCTAATTAACCTGTAGCAACTTTTCTATCAGATAGAAATATCCAGTATGACTATTAACAACCAGTCAACAGCCTTGGGAGGTGGCAGAAACAAAAAAATGAAATTATGTTATTTTCAACTGTGGAAAACTATTAATACACTAGAATGATTTTACATTTTGTCAAATTAACCAAACCAATTCACCAAACTGAATTTGTGTAAATTTAATAGAACATCTTGGTTAAACAAAATGACCTAAGCATTGTTATTGAGGGAATAAGCGGTTCTTTCTTCCACAGGTTTAAGTGTCACAGAAGTTTGAACGAAGCAGAAACACCGGTTCAGACTTTGGAGCGAGAGGTGACTGCACATTCTCTCCAGAGGGGCTCCATTACAATGCATAATTATTCAGCGCTGGCAGTCTGTAAATGCTGCCGGACCACCAGGGACTCTCTGCCTGCTTGCTTCCCACATAGCCCATCTGCAGAGGCAGGCAAGCCAGGCCTGGCTGCAAATGCCAGAGTTGAAGAAAAGGCTGAGCACAAGAATGGGACACCAGATACCAAAAGGCATCAAGCCTGGATATAAATTATTACAAGGATGACCCAAGAGGACTTTAACCCTACGAGTTTAAGCTGTCAGTACAACATATGGTTTTGTTTTTATAGGTTGAAAACATGCAGCTGGGGAGTATAGTTACCATTTTAACCATGTTTTCGGTGACGGGCTTCATCGCCTCGACAGAGTCGATGGTGACGGTGCAGGCCTGCTCCACGCTGAGCTGATGTTGAAAACGCCTCTGCAGATCCTCCTGAGTGAAGTCGAGTTTGGGATAAGTGTGATGGTCCCTCTACAACAGAAACAAAATCCAGACAGACACACAAGATAATTTAAATAATGTCACCAAGCCTAATTCCACAAAAATAGAATCTTGATGAGTCTGAAGCAAAAGCTTCACTGCTAAATAATTTTTAAAGTCCATTGAAATGGAAAACACACTCCCAGCTAACCCTGTGCTTGTTTGCGAACCAACCGGTCCATTCATAAGGCTCAGTTGAGTGTTACACAACAGAGTAGAGAAACAAGCGTCTTGGATGAAATGTTTGCCAGCAGACGATTGGAGGTTACCTCGTTTAAACTCGCAGGTGCATAAAAAATGAGCCTTTGCAGCAGCTTCACACCGGCTGTGCGGTGCTGCGTGCTGCACGTTGCACAATCAACATGTCTGATGCACAGCTGCTGTGTCTCAGCTATTATCTGTGCAATGTTGCATGATTGCGGAAAATAGGACTTTCCCAATCCATGCTTGTAAGATTAAAAGTTTTAACAGCGGACATTTGACCTAGTGTCCCAAAAAGGTTGAGCCCAGTCTCCTCCATAATGGTAAAATTATGAATTCTGACCAATAATTTTGGTAATCCAAGCTTTCTCTATTTGTGGTTCACTAGAATTTTAAAGTCCAATGTCTTCAGAAACCGCTGAAAGGGACAACAATAGTCACAAAAGCATCAACCATGGAGCAACTGTAGAAGGTGGCCCGGCTGCGATGTGTTCACATGGATAGGCCAGTCTTACCTGGGGAACACATGGCATCAAGAAAGAAAAGAAAGAAAGATAACTGCATAGAAAGAAGAAAGAAGACAAGTCTGTGGAGGCAATGTAATGTCCTGAGTATCATATAATACAAATTGTTCCAGACAACTATTTTAGTAAAACCATCAACCAACCATTGAGATGGCTAGAATGCAGAGACAATGGGTATTTAAGTTATCCAGAAAAGCAGACTCAAGATATTTAACCGAGTGGAATAAAGTTTGAATAGGGAAGTAAGCACTATTTAGTTCTTGCATGGTTAGCGTGATTAACAGCAACGAAGGCCAAAATAAATCAATGAGAAAAAAACGCATCAGTCTCTGTAGACACGTTGAAACTAGATCAAACTGCATTTTGTACGATCCACAGCTTCATCAAAATTCATTTTCACACCAACAAACAATGTTCTAATTAGACCGGGCTTCTGCTGCAAACAGCGAATCAAAACTCTCCAGAGGCCGTCCGGGCTGCTCCTCTCTTATCTAGTTATTTGGACGGCCTTTAAGCTCTTGTGACCTGCCAAAAAGTCAGAGTCGTGGTTGAGTAATTTACCTGTACGAAGGCTATCAAAGTCGCTGTTAAAGAAACAGGCACATTTAACCTGCTCTCATATTTCAGAAGAAGCCAAAAATATCAATAACCCTAGTAGATTCAAGTTTAAAAAATTTATTAATTAATTTGACCAATAGGTTTCTTCTGACTGGTAGTAACATGAATATACTGCTCTCATTTGTTATCAGAAAAAAAAAATCATTGCTTGAACAAAAATATTTTTAATTCTGCCAAGTTTATGGATAAATAATCTTGGTTTAGCTATACATGTCTTAATAGATTAAAAGGTGCTTTCAATTTTAACATTTTATAATTTTAGGACACAAAAAAATTGCTGGCTTCAGTGGTAAACTCTTCGCCAAGATTTTCACGTTGACAGTAACGATTTTTATTTTTCTTTGATGTTTTTTTGTCAAAGTATGAATGACAGCGCTAGACTCTCATCATGGCTCTGATTGATTGTTTCTGACTAATCAGTGTACTCCTGCACAGATTCTCTGTTATACTGTCAGGAAATAGTGAAAGATTCAATAAATATGTAAAAAAATAAAATAAAATAAAGAAAAATACTGTCTGTAAAATTTACATGCTACAGCTTTAAACCCCTTAAAAATTTATTTGGAAAACTTGAGTAATTTTGTTGAGTCATCTTAAATAGATTCAGCTAGTGCAAATTTGCTTTAAAGTATAAGCCTCAAATCAAGCACAATCACAAATGAAAATGAATATGAGTGACGACGTAACGAAGTCCGTTTTAAGAAGGTAAGACACAACTCCCTACAACAACAATGTAAGAGGTCGTAAAGAAGTGGATTACCATCCCGTTTTTGCTTATAGAGGTCAAGTGAGATTAGATTAGATGGCCTGTATTTATTGATCCCAGTGGAAATTTAAGAAGCTAATAAATCACATACTGATGCAACATTTTGGCAATATTTTTCTTTAAATAAATAATGACTGGGTATAATACATCATGTCTTGCTGTTCATTTGTAGTTGGATATACTGGCAGTAGCCTTAGCACCAGGTAAAGACAAGATGAGTTTTATTAAACACATAAAGGAGGGCCTACTTTCCTTGTATCATCACTGCATGACCTCAGGATTTAAAAAAAATAAATAAAATCACACAACACATGCCGTTAGCAGCAATCTAACACAATCAGGCCAAAAATATGACAATCAGTCAGAAGACAAGTAAAGTAAAAAAAGAAAAAAAAAAATGGTGCATGGACACAGGCTAAAAATACAACAATTGTTCAAAAAGCTGCTGATGAGTCACGTGACATGCCTAAGAAGAAAGGGAGGTGAGAATAAAGTAGAAGAGGTGAGAGGAAGAGAGGCAACACAAGCAGAGAAGCCATTAGACAGCAGAGCTGGGTGACTATAAATAGGCCTGTGCTTTTCTGGTTGTTAAGCGGTGAAAATCAAATCTATCGTAGTCACACTGGAGTCTTCTGACAGCTTACCCCACTCTCTGGTGCTTCACCTGACAAAGCATATTGGACACAAAACTGCCACAAAATAATCTACATCCCAATTAGCTACCTAAATTAGCTAGATGCACTGATTAACTTTAACGAAGGCATCAGTGTTTGTTTTTTGTTTCTATTTGGATACTCATTGAACAGTAGTTAAAAGAGAAATATCGGAGCTTGCGGAAAATGTGAGTGCAACGTATCGCCGCCGCCACTGGCGAATGATCAGCCGCTGAAACCCCATCCGACTTACATTTGTGTAGAAGTCCTTAACAAGTGGTGAGGAACTCTGGCTTGCGTTCAGGGTGGGGCTGGGCTCGTAGTCTGGTCTTACAGTCTGAACTGCCTTCAGCAGCATGTCCCTTTCATCTTGTCGGAAAACGCACTCCCTGAACAGATCGTCCACAGACAGCCCATCCTTCTTCATTTGATCCAGACACCTGGACAACGAGACACAGCCAGAGGGTGGGAGGTTATTTTCTTTCCTGCAATTTGTGATTTATAGACAGTCGTGGGTTTTTTTGTTTGTTTTTTTTCCCCACAGGCTGATCTGATTTTCTGTTTTATCTAAAGGTTTTAAAGTCTCTTTTAGAAATTGTAACACAGGCAAACTTATATGAATAAACTTAGTTTTAATTCAGCAAACTTTTCACCGTGAATCCAAACATTTTTCAGATTTTTAGCGCATCAAAGAACATGGCGGCTGCCAAAGCTTTTGCAAGATGAAAAAAGTAGAGGTTGTTGCGTTAAATTAATCTGAAACAAGAAATAAAATTTCAACATTTCACCAGTGAGAGTTGATCTCAACCCCTGGGTCACTGATTTGTTCTGTAGCTCAAATTCCTGTTGAGTTTCATTGGAAACAGTCAGAAAATGTATGTAAAAAATGTTATTCGAATAAAAGCTTTGACCTGGAAGTTAGGAAAAATATTGTAAAAGACAAAGGATTCAAAGAATTAAAATAAATATTTCTTCTTAAAAGTATATCAAATAACAACCTCTGGAAGTACAGGTTTATTGTTTTGTTAGTTTGTTTTGTGCGCACGTGTTTTTGTAATAGAAAATATCACAAAAGAACTTTTCAGCACAGTCATGTTTGCTTTGTTTTCATGCATTAGAGAACATTAGAGAACAATATACAGAATATTTAAACGCAAATCTGGATACAAAAAAAAAAAAAAAAAAACACAAAATAAAATAATAAAAGCAACAAGATCCAATACTCCTGTTAACATTTTCTTTATGACAGTATTGAACAGAAAAATATAGGATAAAACTATATGCAGGTTTTAGACTATTTTATGTGAGGCATTTCTATAGCTATGTAAAAACTCAAGAAATACAATTAAATTAAACAGCTGCTACTAGATGTAGTTGCACAAAATAAATAATTAGAGTTGATGGTGCTGGTTATATATGGATTTTCTTTAGAATATAGACTCATGTATTAGTTTTTGTATCCAGTTCCTTTCTTGTAATTACAATAGCATTTCATGAAACAAGACATTTTTAACTACAGAGTAGACATCACACACTTCTACAGAAGCCAGCCCATTAAAACACGTGACGCAGATTTTCAGAAGTGTCCCACTTTATGGTTGTTATGTCAGATCACAATTTGAAAGTTCACGACATCTGACCTGCCTGCGGATGCTGGAATAATAATGACCTGCCAACTATCTGATTAATTCAGATTTAAAAAGGAACAAGAAAAAAAAAAATCCAAGGCAAAGTGCTACAGAATATAAATTTGGGCATTTGCATCGACAATCCTTCTGTCAGGCCGAACAGTTTGATCCGGGCCCAGATGGCTCCTGACAACAACAGTGAAATTTATATTTGAATAGAATCACCAGGAGATCTCCCTGAGGGAGAAAAAAGTCTTCATTACTGAATCCAGATTATATCAATGAGCAAGCGCTCTGTTGAATATAGATGAAATGTTTAATAAAATCTTTCTATAAGTGCAGTGCCTCACCAAAGTATTTGTACCACTAACTTCTCCACATTTTGTCACGTTTCAACCACAAACTTCCAATGGGATTTTATGTCTTAGACCCAAACAAAGCAGATTATACATCTAATACATTGTACTGAAATAAAAGCATTCCCCACAGCGTGAACTGAAAACTGGACTGACTGCTGTGTTTTTTATGATTCTGTTTGATCGCTAATGTTTTTACAGAAGAGATGTATTGATACTACTCAGATAAAGTCACAGGGAGTTCCATTTATTAATTAGCCGACCATGGAAGGTATCCATTTGTATTGGATTTTATTTAAGGGTAGCACAGTGAAGGGGTGGAATGAGAATATATGCGAAACTGTATTTGGTAAACATTCAGAAAATCACTTCACAGTCATGCCCTACTTTGAGTTGCTGAGCCACATAATATCCCATTAAAATGCATTGACCTCTATGGTTTGAATGAGACAAACAGTGACAAACATTCACACATCATCAATATCCTTGCAAGGCTCTGCAAATTAAATATTTGTTCTTTAAAGATAAATTGGTTTAGCTGTTCAAAAGATTTTGTTCTTTAAAAAAAAAGATTTAGTGCCCTGGAAGCATCTTTAATTTAAACATTTTACTCTGAATGCATCATATTTATCATGCTCACTCATTAGGCTGTAGGCTGGCTGTATTTCACCCAATAGCTTAAAAAATGAATGTTTGCAAAACTTTCAGGCAAGATAAATACAACGTCGCCTTAGGTGCGTTTGCTTGCAGTGCCCCCTATAGGCCACCAAAACAACACCACCACCACCACCAAGCCGAGAGGAGGGAGCGAGAAGAAACCCATTTATCACCAGTCACAGAGGACAGCAGAGCTCTGCTTCAGCCTGCACACACCTTTTACTCCAGACAATTATAAATAACAGTGAGCTAATTAACGTCAGGAGAAAACCCTGGCTCAGCAGCTTCCACCTATTAAAAACTAATCAGAAGAGAGCTGGGATCTGTTTGTCACCGGCAAAAACAAAAGCACTCCGCAGCTCGAGATAGACGCACGGCGATGCAAAGGGGGTCACGGCATTCTCCCCTCCCGCCTTGGAGACACTCGTGCTGAAACGTGCAATTTTGGTCTGAGCAAACGAGAAAGCCTCGAACAAAGGCAGGATTAGTCTGGGAGCTGGCAGTGTGGTCCAGAGGAACAAAGAGGGCAGAGAGGTTGACAGATAGAGCATAATCAGCCTGGTGACTGCTCTGCTGCACCCTGGGGAACGCAGAGCTCTGGAGGACACAGCGCTTTCAAAAGGAAATCTTAAAGGGATGAGTGCGTGTGTCTCTGTGAGAGAGTCGCAAACTATAAAAGGGTACATTCAGGGTAAGGATGTGGCAGAAGTGACTTAATAGGAGAGAAAAATTTGAGTGCGGGCAGGGGCGGGGGGAAGAAAAAAAAAACTGACTAGGCTCAGGATGATAATGAGGAAGTTAAAATAAAGGAAAGACTGGGGAAAGAATGCAACGCTGCAGAACCACAATGTCATGTTTGGATCAGCTTACACTGATCGATGGACCAACCCAATCTCGCTGCCAACCTTATCGGCCTGCTACATGGCCTGCTATTGGACCGCACAGCATAGGGCGATGTTCCCAGTGTGTGCGTGTGTGTGTTCATAAGTTCCTGCGTGCGCCGTTACTGAAACAGGAATCATATGAGGATATGAATATGACACAGTTTTACATTACGAATGCAACCGTGTCAAGTGTATGGGACCCTGAATGGAAGAAAATGTCCGATAAATCAATCATCGATCAGGCTTTTCATGTTAAAGATGGTTAAGCTGGGTAAAAAGGGAAAGCAGGTTTTATGTTTTATTGAAATGAGGCTTGATAAAGGGGAACAGACTCCTACTTTGTCTAAATAATCACATTTCAAGAGTTAAACATGAAACTCTCTAAAAGATAATACATGTGTGACTCATGTTACTCTACACCACGGTCAGTTTCCCTTTACAATTCAGAGAGAAAAAAGATGACAGATGCAACATTTACTGCTAGCACCAAGTTCTGCTTTTTTTTTGGAAGTCAGCATCTTTGATAGAGGTAACCATTTTAAACTCAATCGAATAAGCAGATTTCTACTGAACTTCAAATAAAGTGCATAAAAAATTACTTATGTGCTCTTGGACTGAAATGCTTGATTCATCTTATGAGCAGGCAAAGAAAACTTACTAAAATAATAGACTCTAAGTATCGGTTTTGGTTGCTAACATTAGTTAGCAAGTTGTAAACAACTAGAGATAAACCAATCAGGCTTTGATTTGCCAACACCAATGTCTAATTTTCTTAAAATTTGGAAGACCTGTCCAGGATTCTCTGTATCTCTCTTCATCCCTCTGTGGGACTTTTCAAGTGATTTCCATTTCCATAAAACCTGATCTTTGTTCAAGTCGCAGAGAGATGGTTCCTCTGAATCCCTATTAGCCTTGTTGAAATAGTATATGGAACAAAAAACATTGTTGTCTCATACCCATCACCCACTTTGTATGTCTTTTGTATTATATTTTCAGTCTGTTCCTTTTGTTTACCTCATTTTGTATGTGTCTGTGCAGAAATAATAAATAAACAGGGTCTATGTAGTAATATGCATTGAGATAAATTAAAGAGGAAACTCACTATATCCTGCAGCCACAATAACTCCAGACTAATCTTATGTGCAGCACAAAATACGAATAAAATCTAATAGTGGGGAGCAGACCGACTGATAAATGGCAACTGATGCAAAATGCAAACAGAGCAATTTTGCTGCATGGACTTTTCTCTCTTGAAGCCATGAGCCTTGTCTCGCAGATTCATTAAAAAAAAAAAAAACAAAAAAAAAAAACGCTCAACACTGACAGTCTGGCAGACATTTGTTTCGCTTGCTTTTCGAGATTTGCAACAACAAAAAAAGATTAAAATAAGAAATGGATAGTAAATGTGCAATTGTCCAAAAGATATATATTAAACAGATGCAATTTAATTACATGAGTCAGCATTTAAGGTAATGATGAAGCTGAGGAGTGTACCAAACAGCAACTGTATCTTCCAAAAGGAAATACACTACCAGACACAAACAGCCAGAGTATGACCCCTGGTGGCAAAACTCTGGTATTGTTACTACGGTTCTTTGCCTAGAGATATTTTTCTTACCCAGTTAATGTCAACATTTCTAAATAAATCTATTAAAAAAATACAAAATACTATAATACTAAACCAATTTCTTCGTAATCTTGGTTTGCATACTGATGTGCACATTCGCAAACGTACCTCGAAATTACTTTTGGGGGGCAGTTTTTATTTCGGCCCATGCACTCCAGTGCAGCAGAGTAGGAGCTCACGTTTGGCTTCAGACCAGCTTCTTCCAGCAGAATAAAGATCCGACCGATCTGATTCAACGTGCCCTGAAGAGAAGAGAACCACGATTATGTGTTTGAGAAAAATGTTCCTCGCTTTATGCTTGATAACACACAAAAAAAAGAAAGGAAATTAAACCTAAAAAAACAAAAAAAAAAAAAAAAAAAAACACAAACCTCTAATATCTGAAAGCCATACATAAAAGTGTAAAAGCATAGTTGGCTGAAACCGTAATACAAATACATGAAAGACGCTAATCTCCTTGTGACTTCATAACAACTGTAACATGCTTTCAAAGATATTAACTACACCGTGAATCATTTTTTAATTTTTCACAATCACCAGCTGTGGCGTAACTTATCAGAATTTGATGTGTTAGACCAACACATACTACTGCATCACTGTGAAGTCTAATGAAAATGGTTAAATGCTTTTAAAATTTTCTCCAACTAAAAATCTGAAAAGTGTGTCATAAGTTTGGATCCATCCTCCTGTACTCTGGTAGTCGTAAATAAACCAATAATTTTCAATGTATTGGTTTAGCTAGGGAAACTTAATGAACCGTCAGCAACACATCAAAGATGCAAAACGATGCAGCCTTGTAACCTTAAAGAGTTAGGTTACAAAACAACATGGACTTTGAACGTCTCACAGGAAATTGTTCAACCTATAATTTGAAAATGGAAAAAAAGATATGAATATAAATAGGATATTGTCAAGAAAAGTGGTGAAACCAGCAATATTTTTTCCTTCCACTTCACATTTACGCTCTAGTTGGTGAAAGCTTCGTTATATAAAATCCAAATAAAACCTGCAGAACTTTGCTGTTGTCAAGGAAACGGCAGCGCATTAACCCTCTAAAATCGGATGTTTGGCACTTACCTTTTTGGCCCACACCCTCATCATAATGTTGTAAATATCTGTGGTAAGCTGTTTACGTCGACTCATAACTCTGTGCTGACTGAGCAGGAACCTTTGCGAGCGCTCGACGTCCCCCATAAACACGCACGCCTCCAGGTAGCAGCGGATGCTGAGCTGGATGTCCGCGCAGGAACTTCTCGTGCTGCTCTCCTGGAAGCGCTCCATTGTACTCAGACATATCCGTTGCTGTGCCTGCTCATTGAGTCTTTTTTCAAGCTCCTCAATCTCAGCCAGGTCTCCGTCCTCTGGTTTATTTGTTGCGTCCTTGTCAGAAACTTTACTTTTGGAGTCTCTCCGCTTCTGTTTAGATGTTTTAAGTGCCTCGGCTGCTTTTGATGAGGTGGCGGCTGTTGTTACTGCGGCTGCTGAAGAAACCGAGGGGCGGATTTCGTCTGACAGCTTCGTGCCACCTCTCCTCTTCTTTGCGGCAGAAGATATAGTTTTATATGTTGTACTTGTGGGCATTAAGGTACTTTTGCTAGCTTTAGATTTCCCCGGTAGCTTTTCTTTAGCGTTTCTCTGCATTTTCTGCTGGAGGATCTGCTGTTTCTTAAGTTTATTTTTCTTCTCCTCAGATAATTTTTCCATCCAGCGGCTCGGCTGAGACTTGGAGGCCCTTTTTGTAACCGCCTGCCCAGATTTAGGAATGTCGCTTTTGTCTTTAGAGGATCCTTTGAGAGTCCTTACAGATGAAAGACCTCCCCGAAAAGAAGGAGATTTAAGAAACTGGACTTTTGCATGTTGGACATCTAAAACGATGTCAGATTTGAGTTGCTGTATCCTGGCTTCAAGGACTGTGAATAGGAAAGGGAAGAGAAATATCACATTACACTGAAATGACACAAAACACAGAACAACTTCAGAGGGAAACTTAAAATATGGTTTGCTACTTGTCTGGTAAAACATTGTTTTATCAAAACTGGAGCTTGCCTTGCAACATGCATTGTGTGTGCAAGTCCTCTAAAAGCCGATTCTCCAATTCTTTTTTGTTAATTAAAAGTGATATCTGCAATCTAAGTCAACATACCATCTAACAACTGAGACTGTTCATGAACACGTTTCTTTGCATCCTCTGATTTCGGGATTACAGACGAAATATTTCTTCTTTGTAGGTACAATGGTGTTTCTGGAAGAAAGAAAAAACAAAAAGAAACAAACAAACACAGTGTGGTTCATCTCTCCGACATAAACATGCTTGTAATTCTCAAAAACTAACATTTTGTTTTTCATTCTTGATCTGAAGCAGATATTCAAAAAACATGCATTTGTAAATTTTCTTTCTCAATTCTCTCGCTACTTTCCATTTTCATAATGCCACTACAACTCTCATCCAGTCAGTAATATGAACACAAAACACGGAAACATAAGGGACAATTCATTCAGCTGAAAGACTACACTTACAATACTATATCCGTGCACATCTATGAGGTTGCAATACTGCATAACTAGTATATTGACACCGAAACTCTAAGGTCACATGTATGTTTTAAAGTATAAACTCAAAATATCCCGCAGTGACACACAAAAAGAGAAAACCTCGTGTTGCTACATGATCTGGAACCTCAGTCTCTGGCTCAAGGACGAAGAGACAAGAAATTTTAAACCACCAACCATCAAGATACAGCAGTAGAAGTCATCGTCGAGAACAAGAGTTGGTGATGAACTTTGTGTATTCGTTTGAAAACATGTGATTTTATCACTTTGTTTGCCAACATCAAGGTAAGAACGTGGACCAACCACGAAGCTAACAAAGCTACTCGATGAAGGACGAATAATTGAGGTTTTGAGCAAAACCAGAGTATTAGTGAAATGAAAGGTAGAAACTATATTAAGGGTAAGACAAGAAGACATGAGTAAACTTTTCATGGAGGATAAACTGGTATCCCTCAGGAACAGAGTTCCCTTCTGCGGCTTACCTGAAATCCGTCTGACTGCGGCGCTTCTCACAGAGACACACAGCTGGCAGCGGTCCGCAAAACACCTGCGAACGTCCGCTAAACTGCGCCGACCGAGGCATTTGGCGAGAGAGCAAACTCGGAGAAGAGACATGTTGACATGTAACAGCCGCGTTACTCCAAGAGCACTACGCTGCCATATTGGAAAAGACTTAGCTAATCGGCAGCCGAGATAATGTCCCTTTCGTCAGGCCTGATGAGAGGAGTTCAGATAACATCGAACAGCGACTCGAGGAATATGGAGGTAGATATGTTAAAACATACAACATAAATACAAGTTATTATTATTATTATTATTATTATTATTATTATTATTATTATTATTGTTGTTGTTGTTGTTGTAATATGTTTTTTTTACTCTATTACTGGTATTATTCATATTTAGTTGTTGCAGTTGATAATACTGTTGCTGCTGCTAGAAATATATTATTATTATTGTTATTATTATTATTATTAGTAGTAGTAGTAGTAGTAGTAGTAGTAGTAATTATTATTGTTCGCTATAATAATAATAATAATAATAATAATAATAATAATAATAATAATAATAATAATAATAATAGTGGTATAAATTAATTTATTCATATAGCTTCAATATTAAGAATTGAAGTAGTATACAGCGAATAATGACATGGATATGTTAAGATTTAGCACACGAAGTAATACCAAAATAATAAATAATACTGTTAAGTGCAGGTCTTTGGTCCATTCCACTGCTAAGATAGTCGATCCCAGGACAGTTATTCTCAGGAGCAAGAATGCGGAGTGGTCCACACACCAAAGCATGGATACCAAAGAGTCTCTAACATTTAAAGTGTCTGTCTTTCATTGCTATGAGTAGAACTTAACTGGGTTCCCAATACTTTAAAAACATATATTTTGGTATCCCTTGTGCACCCTCATCGTTTTCAAATAAAACTTACATATGTTTGACCTATAGATGGCAGTGTCCACATTCATTTGAACTTGCCGGAGGATGAATCTGTCATAAAGGTATGACAAATGTCATGTATTGTTTTAATTTGTTTAATTAACTCATGTCTAAGACATGCATAGAAATATACACAGAGTGCTATGATGTACACTTCAAACATATTCATTTGTTTGATTAAAGGAATAGTTTGCCTGAGTTCTGGGTTAGGCTTTACAAACATTTCCTGGAAAAATCAATGACAGTGGTGGTTTAATTTGGTCTTTTTTTAGGGACTATATTTTATCTGTCATTATAATCACAGCACAAATATGCTTTTAAAGTATGTAATCTGAAGAAGACATCAAGACCCTATTCTTTATTGATTGGCCAAAAAGATGCCATGAAAACATTTTTTTTTATTTTTTTTTTTTTTATATGTATATAATAGCAATGACTATGCTTTGATTGGAGGGTAATACAGTAGTTGCCACAATTTTAATTTTGATTAATTTTAATTTCAATTCATTTTGTAAAATGTTTTATTATTGTTAATAGAGGAATCTTACAATGCCTGATATATTTTTCTGAAGACAGAAACATCTTTTTAACCCAGTTAAAGAACTGACTTTAAGTGTGAACCATCACTACAAAGCTAAAAAAAAAAAAAAAAGTTGTAGATAATCCAGAAAAGAGTACTTGTCGCAACCTGTTGAAATACATCCCCTCCTTTCACCCTGTGACTTTTAAAGTCGCAACCCAAAAAAGTTAAAAATCAAATGTGACTCTAATTCAAATTGACAGTAAAACTGTACTATGTTCTTCACATCCTGTACACTTTCTGACCTCCAGCAGCACCGGCCTTCCCTTCACGTGCACTCATCAAACCCACTTTAGTGAGCCTTTGTGTGTCAGCAGACGGGAGGTTAGCACAAGCACTACTTGACAGAGAGGGGGAGAGACAAGGGAAGGTGGTGGTCGCTGGGAGGGGTGCAGCGGAGGAGGAAATGAGGTCCGGACAGAACATCTTTTCTCAGCGGAGGCAGTGGCTGGAAGCACAGCAGCGGGTGTCTGTTCTTGAGCTGTAGGTGAGGATCAGGAGGTGTTTGTTGCCACAGTTCACAAGCAGGGCCCCCTGACAGCCTCGTTTGATGTGGTCGGCCCCTGTCGACGGCTGGCTCTTTGCGCCGACGTGACAGTCATTGCCTGGTGAGTGACTGTCAATGCCCCTACCAACAAAAGAGGAGACAGGCTTTCATGGGGCCTGATAATACCCAGGCCACGACGAGGCCGCCATTCTCACGTACTTTGATCATGGGGATTCTTTTGCACACCTTTGTAGGGGCTGCCTTATTTGTTTAACAGACGGAGAGTAGGCTGTTGTTGAAACAGCTTCACCTGGCCAGGGAGATATTATGGAGATTCTTTTCTGTGAGATTTTTTGTGCCTTTTTGACACGAGTCTGTCGGTTTGTCTGAACCCGTTGAGCGTAAATGCAGAGGTGAACCGATTACCCCTGGTGATGACGTACTGAATTAATTAATGCTTTGTTGATGTCACACAGTCTCACAGTAAGACGTTTAGAAATATCTCCTTTTTTTTGTTTTTAATAAGCTCTGTTAGTACCCCAGCTGTCAGTCCATGATTTTTGCACTGAATCTCCTTCACAAGAGTGGAGAACATAGAAAGAGAAATTGATAGAGATCTTTAACCATCACTCTTTATAAAATCTCTCTGTTTCCACGATGGAAGACCTGGCGAATTGTTTCTGTATTGATTTTCCATACATTTTAAATAATTTTGTTGCTCAAAGACCCACTGAAAAACAAATATCTAAAAATCTAGTCTACAATCACAGATCCTACACGCTACTTAATAGAGGATGTGAGTTTTTTTTTTTCTTTTTTTTTTTTTTTACAAATTCATAATTTGTTGAACACCTAACCCAAGGTGAATGGTATTTTTTTTTCTTCCCTTACCATTCTGGTTGCGTAAAATTAAATGATTTTAAGAGAAAAAAAAAAAAAGCCTTGTTAGATTTTTTTTTTTAAATGCATTGTTATGTGTACCAGCGAGAGAAATCGTAACTTACTTGGCTGCCACAGATTTGCATTTTATGATCGTTTATAATAACTGAGTCATCTAATCATATGATTACCAACTCAAAGGGCAGGTAGCGTAACACTGCTGTTAACAATGTTGACTTTATCTGCGGAGTGAAAAAATGCCGAGTCAGCATTTTCAAATTGTTCACCCAACAACCTCCCCTGTCCGTCTGTCTGTCTCTGCTTCCTTGTGCTTTATATAGACCAGATTATCTGTCCACACAGGTGTCAATTGTTTTTCCTCTCTTTCTATCAGATGCTTGGACCTTTGCTTGTTATCTTGCTAAGAGCTGCACTTACATCTCTCAAAACTCCGTTAGCGTCTGAAAGATAATTCGCTTATCACAACGCTGCTCACAATGAACAATGATTGTGAAGCAGGACATGCAAATGTCATGAGCAGGTCCAAACCGTGGTGGTCTTTGTCAGTTCCTTCAACTACATCCGTTTGTTTAGCAGCCAACCACAACTAGAGATATCTGTCGCACCTGTGCTTTGGTCTGAACTGATCTACCTGGCGCTGTTAAGATCACAATACAATAACTGCATAATAATCACTGACTTTACATAAAATAGACTGTTTCTTGAATTATATGGCTTTGGTATATTGTTTGCATAGGCACAATGTATGTATGTGGAAAAGTATTTATTTGAAAAAGGAACATTTTTGCTAAAAGATGGTGAAATCCAAGTAGCTATGTTAAAAGGCAGCAGTCCAAGGGTACAAAGTTAGAGAAACAGCAAGAGAAAAAGCAAGACAAGCATTTAGCAGGAACAGAAAACAATTAATAATAGGGAGCTTTTACTGAGAGATTGTCCGTGCTAGGAAGGAGGTCAGGTTTCAGATCCTTTTGAAGACTTTGATGGTACAAAACAGGCCTCATTATAGAGATATTATCTCTATTCAGATACTTACAGAGCTGCTTCGATCCCTGCTGGGAAAGATTAGGTTCCTCGACTCGAGAACATCCTCCTTAGGGTGCCTGGCTCTCTGCATGCCTTTCTCTGTTCACGACACACCCACATTACACAGGTCAACACAAATCAGTTCAGAGCAGCAAAGCTGCTCAACAAAACTCACTAGATACAGAGGTTTGGTCAATTAACCAGATATTACTAACAAACCAATAATGATGTTGTCTTTTGTCGACCATTGTCCACAAGAACAAAATTTGCCCGGGTTTTAAAATATTTTGGACAGTATATAATATTTTATTCTTCCGTCTATTGTGTTGGTATTTGTGTCGCTTTAAGAATCAATAGTCATTTAGTTCAGTCCAGTTTACTGGGGCCTCCACAACTATTTGCACCTCCTGTAAAGAGATATGTTCTTGAGTGGATAGCTTTGGTAGAGGATTCAACTTGGTAGCTATTGCAATTAAGTGTGAAAACTGTTAAAAACAGCGCCACTATTTTGCAGTGTGATTTTATTGACAACCATTAGTAACATTAATATGCCTATCAAAGTAATTATTGTGCTACTTTAAAGAATAGGGTCAAATACACATTACAGTTCAGACACTGGTAAGGTAATAATTAAGAAATATTTATAACAAATGTAATCTTGTATTTATGCTTCTACAGTCTGATGTCACGCAGCTCTATGTTCATAAATCTCAAACGATTATTCAATCTTAAGAACTGTGAGATATGGATTTTTTTTCTTTCACTATAAAGCACTTCCTTTTTGAGTTATAAACTAAAGATTGTGACATGCACTTCTTTGCAGGTTACAAGTGTGCACATTAGGTGATGGGAACTTGACAAGATAGTTTATGTGCCACATGTCTTGATCACGAAAGTAAGCGAAAGGCTGTTATTTGCAACATCAAAGCGTAGCACTGTAAAACAGCAGGATGTTGCATGTTAAGACATTGAGAGAAAAGGGACACATAAGACACTTGTCTATGGTCTGGCACTGAGCTCAGGGCCCAAACATTTGCTTCTAAGACACCACAATGCAATCTGCTGCCACATCTGACATTCACATGAGGCTCAAACTTCGTTGATGACCTCAGAAAGCTCTTCATTTTGCAAAGAGATTTAAAGTACATAGAAGGATATGTGATTTTAATTACAAGAAACTTTTATCAAAGAAGAAACAACTGTGTCTTCTGTAGCTCAGTCTTCCTCTGTTTCTCTTGTTCCTACTCTGTGTGTTATTTTTCTACAATTACCATTTTCACAATTAAGGCACAAAGCAATGGATGATTTTATACCTTATTAATCTTTTTATTATTGAAACTTTTTAAACACACCATGCAGAACTGGGGGACATATATAAAGTCAGATATTTCAAGTTTTCGATTGATAAATGTCGATGGACAATTGTTCTCTTTGCAAAACTTACATTATGGCAAAAATGGCACCAAGTATATTCACTTTTAAAAACAGAATATTATTTCCAGTTGGATTAGGTGGCACCAAGCTAACCAACAAACTTGGTTATGCCAGGATAACCAATAAAATTGAGCACTTTTGAAATATCCATGCTAGACAAAATGTCGTTTGTCAATTGGACCATGACAATATGGAGATGAGCTTCATTCAAACTTAAAAAAAATGGGCATAAATGGCCTTAAAAGATTGCATCAAATACACACCATGTTTATGAAGTCATGCTGTCATAATTTGAGCTTAAGATCCAAAACTGATTTTTGGATCATTCCCTTTTGGGACCATCAAGTCGTCCAGGTTCTAAAGCAGCAAAAGCCTCAGACCATTTCACTGCAGTGCAATGTTCTCTTTCTCTTTCTGAAATTCTGGGCTTGTTTTATGTCAGCTATCATGGAACATGTGAGGTCTTGATAATCGTCCAGATTTTTTATTTTTTTGTTGTTTTTTTTGCTGAATGTGACAAATTGGTTTATTGGTATTTGTGTTATTTTTGGTTTTCAGGGTGTAGGGTCTTGAGGCTCCAATTCTTGCTTAATCCTTGTCTTGTTGTTGAATCATGAACACTAACCTTGTGGATGGGTCATTGATATGCTATCATGGTCATTTTGATGTCAGTGATTCTGTCACTCACCTTGAATTTCTCTTCATCAGGACAAAATGTCTTGTTTTACGAGATCTTCTTGCACTGACGACAGGTTCTATTTACCAGATTATTTATTTTTTTTTTTAAAGTGGCTTATCAAATCAGTTCATTGGGTCCCCAAGAAACACACCATCACAGGGTTGAATGACTAGAGCCCTATCACCCTTACGCCTGTGGTCATGAACTCCTTTGAGCGAAGGACATCACAGACCCCCTGCTGTTTGTTTACTGAGCAAAGAGGTTAGCAGACAATACAGTCATTTTGGGACCGCACTTCATCCCGCGAACAGGATCCTGTTTGTGGACTTCAGCTCAGACTTTAACACCATCAACCCAGGCATCATCCACCAGAAGCTAACCTTGCTAACAGGACCAAAGTCCACCTGTCAATGGCTCACCAGCTTCCGGAGTGACCGGCATAAGCAGAAGAGACCAGGAAGCACCTTCTTCAGCACAGAGGAACCATCAGCACCACTGCTCATAATGAATACTTAAACGTTCCCAAATCAATACCATACAAATTTGCACTAAATGTTGCTTTTTCTTTTGTATAAACACTGTATATTTTCATATAAACTAAAAATCTTTTATTTCCTTTCTCATGTATTAATCTCTTCACTGAAAGCAATTTGGAACCGATATAAAAATTGCTTCTTTTACTTTGTGTGATGATCTGAAATTTTCAAATATGACCGAAATACAAAAACAGAATACATCTGTAAAGGCACAAACACCAATGTATATACGGGTAAACAATTTTTAGTTAAAAAACATACAAAACATCTGACTGGTCTCTTTCTCTGTCCTCTTTTCTTTATCTGAATGGCTAAAGATTAGATATGACATAGATGGAACAGCAGGTCTGGGGGAAGTGGTCAAAATGCTTAAACAACGTAAAGCTGCTTTCACACTTTCTAAGTATGAAGTTCTCAAAAGCAGTTCTAATGCTGGACGAACAGGACCCAAAAGTGGTACTTACAAATCAAACAAGCCCCCCTCGAAAGGAAAGATGATTTGTAAAGCTCACAAATGAATTTTTGCAACTCTTGTTTCCTGTTTCACAAAAATATGCATGTGAAAGAAATTAAGGCGTATGACTTGTTAAATTAGAAACGAAATGAAATAAGGCAATCTGAATTTCTTTGCTTAGCTTATGGGTAATTTGTGTTTCTACATTTACTTGAAAGATGACATAAGGCTTAACAGGATTAAACAGGCTGGCCGTACATCACTGCCTCGACCTAATCAGGATTATTAAACAGCTTGTAAAAAACAGACAAGAGTGTGGGAAGTCACAAAAAACAAATGTGTTTTTCATTTCCATCCCGCTCTGCTAAATTAAATGGTAAAGATCAGAGGGGGTGTTTCATTGAAATATTAACACAGGTGATCAAAACGTCTCTCCGGCATCCTCTGGAATAGCTCTGCTAACACTTCTTCAACCTGCAACAGGCAACCTGCTCTGTGTCTCTGACGGCTTGATGATTTAAACCAGAAGCCGTGAAAAAAAAACAAAAAAGCAAAGCCTTCCCTTAATTTGTCCCATATGCCTAAAGAGAAGAAATGAGCATGAAGGTGTCAAAAAAAAGCTGCCTCCTAGCTGGCTTAGGGTCTGCTATGAGACAGTAATGGAGATGATTTGCTACAAAATGCCTCACATCAAGGGGACACGGCGGAGGTCATGAGATGGAACCGAGGCTTTCTAAGTTTTTCCAGGTGTTTGTGACCATGAAAGGGCCAAAATACGTGTTTCTCACACAGGGAACTCCTCTGAGAGGAGACGACTGAAAGGGGACGATACTCGGTTCAAACTTTCTCATTTGTATGAAATTGCAGTGAATGGGCGCAGTGGCCTCCATCCCCCCACCCCTTCTCCTTTCAACCCCCTAGACGCTGGCCCTGCCCAGGATAAAATTCACAACCGCTCAGGCAGTACCGGCACAGGGGAGATGGCTGACTGACTGCACACAGCAGAGCATGAGGCCGGTAGCTTACTGCTTCGCTGCCCTATGCTAGCGCTCACACACACTCACTGGCTTCTGCTCACCCTGACACACACACACATACACACACACACACACACACACACACGCACGCACACTTTCCTCCCTCTCTCACTGTCGCAGACTCACACTGGTTCGTTCCCTCCCATACTTGCTGCCTCTCTATTTCCCTCAGTATCATACACACACACATGCACACACACACATGGGAGCACACACACACACACACAGAGTCAGTCACAGGCAACTCTCATTCAACTCTCTCTCAGCCACGGGTCAGCAGCTCAGACAGGCAACTTGTTTCTATCCAGCTGGAAAGAGCAGGGCAGCGCAAGGTGCACACACACACACACACACACACACACACGCACACACACACATAAAGATATACACTCATCCATTTGGACTAAACTCAAGAATTACCCACATGTTTATCCTTAAACATCCTTGGACTGTATCTGCAGACCACTGAAGAAGACTTCAGTCCAGGGAAGCACCGGAAGGATCTGTGTCAAAGATGGAGTAGACTTCATATCAGGAGCTGAACGCGTGATTTCAACGCTGAAGATGACAACCAGAGAGACTTGCTTTCAACCCAAAGCGGAGACTGACCATCAGTGACATCCAGAGGATCTGTTGTGATTACCATTCCCCTCCCTTCGCTGTCCAGGACTCCCACCCTCCACACTGACATCTCTTGATCACCAGCATGCCTACAGCTTGCACAAGGTGCACGTTGGGAGCCTAACCCACCATGTGCAGATGGATGACATCCGCAGCTCATCTTTGCCCTAAACTTACCCTCAGAACAGCCACCACCGCCTCCTCCACTGGGACGTTCATCCCCCTGCCCAGTGCATCCTCCTTTGCCCTGGCATGCCTCACCCTGCTCTTGGTCACCGCTGACACCGGAGCCTGTCCTCCTCGAGCAGGGCATGAACCCCTCCAGGGGCTGGGGAGCGGCACCAACTGTTCATGGACTTTGGAAAGGCACACTCGTAGTTACAATCACCTGGAAGGTGACGTCAGACTGCGGCGGCTTTATTCTGCCAACAAGTTCTTCCTCTGCATTGACAAAACAGGAAAAGTGGATGGCACCCGGCGGAAAAACTATGCCGACAGTAAGTAGCTTGTGAATTTAGTGTCAATGCACCCTGTGACATCCCTGCTTTTATGGCTGAACTTTGTGATCGACTTTATAGTTCATGGGAATCTCCAAAGGTTATATTACCAGAGGGCTATATCTGTGTGTTTGGAGCATGGGAGAGGCGTTGCTAAGTGAGAAGGGAATACCCTTGTGTGGAAATGGATTAATGGGAGAGCAGACACTGAGGAAAGACACTGAGCATCAGTTGGTGTGGTGCATTAGGGCTGGAAAAAAACCTCAGTGTTACTGGCAATTAACTTGTCAAAAGTGTAGTGAAAGTGCATCAGGTCTTAAGTAAGCAGGCTTAAACCACAGCATAGTTTTTGAGAACTATGACCTAGATTAGATTTGTAGATTACAAGTTATCCTCTTGGTAAGCATCCTAATTTGTGCATGTAGGTAGGCTTTTTTATAAACCTCTTCCCCAAGTGCATACAGTGCACCTCCCAAGCATCCCCAATCAGCTCACACTTGTAAATACTGCAAGTTGTCAAACTGAATGTGCAGTAAAGATGCAACTTAAAAAAAACATGCTATGGTTACAGGTAAGTGTACGGCTTCACCAGTGTGCTACATTGCATCTATAAACCATGTATAAACATGCTAGTCCATAACCAGGTATGTTGACAGACAGACAGAGCTAAATAATACAAAAAAACCAAAACAAAAAAACAGAAGATGCAATAGACTTTTTTTATTTTCTGTCATTTTTACATAATCTATTTCCACACTGTGCCATCACACATCAAGCAGATGAAGACATGTGACCTTTTCTCCACAGTGACAAAAATCACTGACTGTGGCCTCAGTAACTACATATAAACAATGAAATTAAATGATTGCACTTAAATTATGAATGATTAACATGCTTTTACCTGAACGCCCAGTATCAAAAACTTCCTTTTGGTTTACTCGGGTCTCTATTGTGCACCCTGTTATAGGTAATCAAATGTTTCAAGAGGGATTGCTGCAGAGGTTAGTACCATGAGGTTTAGGACTTTTGCCTTGGACAGATGATTTCATAAGGCTGTTTTGTTGTTGCTCTGGAGGCTGAGTCCACACTCTGCTGTCAGACTGGAATTACAAGCACCACTTCAGCGAACATTTTGGAATCAGGGAACATGTCTCCATTTGAAATGATCAGAAGTCGGCAATAATCTCTGGTCAAGTGGTTTCCTCATCCCGCAAATACTCACTTCAGCGAGAGGAAATCTTGAAGCATGCATTCCACCTACACCAGGCGTTCAGCTGCACTGGTCTGAGACATGCAGTGGTCACAGATGTGCTTCCAAACATCCACACTGTCCAATATACTGTCAGCTTCTGGTTAGTAAGATGCACTGAGTATGGTATACAGGCCAGAGGGGATGTTCAGATACTTGCCTGGAAATTGGTTTTGTGATTCAAATATATTTATTGTTTTCAACAACAAGTTATTGTCTACAGAGCAGCAGAGGCATCAGAACCGTCATCAGCATACATTTACATACAACATATTAATCAGTCAGCTAACGCCAGTCAATGTAGATGGATGTTTACAGAGCTCCGGCCTGGGAGTCTTTATTTGATTGACTTGGTTACCTCTGCTACGCACTCTGTGTGCAAAATGGAAAATGTATGCATGACCTCACCAAATGGCCAGGAGTGCGTATTGCAATCTGCAAACCTGTCAAAGAATGTGATTTCAATGTACCCATTTAAAAAATGGTCAAAGGCTAAAAATATTAACTTGACCCCTGATCTTGCGTATACTTTAATATGAATACAAATTGCTTCAGAAAGGCAATGTGTCACATCTTGTTTCTATTTATTGCAATTCTAATTTTTATATAAACCATTTGTGTCTTACTAAATCTAACAGGTCATTAGCACTGATTAAACCGATCTGTTGAACTCACATAATCGGGCAATTGGTTTGTAGAAAACTGGTTAAGAACATTGGATGTAAAATGGTACCAAATGCCCCTTCTGGTGGTATGACTTCCGGTCAATGACCGTCTCTTAGAGATTATTTAAATCTAGAAAAAGTGAAACAACTCCTTTATTTGGTACAGACTGACTCAAGGACAAGACAGCCTTTTTATTAATCTAATATGTGTGGAAGGCTGGAGCGCAATCTCCAGAATATGGCTCCAGCCTCTTTGCTCCTTGGCCGGTCTGTAACCCCATTTAGCACCTTCGCGTTACTGTTTTGCCACTTCCTTTTCCTATTGTGTACTGATGAAATGTATGGAAAGTTTATTGTATAATTTACTATAAATTTTAGATTATTCTTGGAAGGCTTTATATAAAACGCTGCTTGGAGTATTTGCAGTACTGATCCTCCGATACTCCGGCTCGGAGTACCGGAGGATACTCCGAGATATCTTATGGATAATATTGCATATTATCTTAGAGAACTAAATATGGAAGACAATTACCTCTGATCACACCAAAGAGCTCTGAGATGATAAGTGTATAATGGAAATATTATATGAACCATTTATTGTCAACGCTGTTCAAAACTTTCTCTCCGTTGAACCAGAAAAAAATCTGAAGTGTAAAATTAGGAAACAGCAACGGCGTGAAATGTCCAGCAACCGTCCACAGTGCATCCTATAGTTTAGCAACTTTTCCAAGGAGCTTGATTATGCATGAAGCTGTTTCTCAGTAGACAGCCCATCAATGAACGTCTGTTCAGAGCTGCACAAAGCCAAATGAACTAAAACTGGCCATGATCTGACCTCCCTCTCCATTAGTCATTGGCTGACCGAATGACTGGGTAGTCTTCGGAGAGACATTTTTTTGCCTTTGACGGTAATATTTATGTATTTGGTAGTTATTACCTTTTTATACAAGTAGGTGAGTCAGACGTTTTTCCATTCAGCTACTGGGGGAAGAACAGCTGCTGGGTCGAGCTGACGGGCCAGAGAGTCTGCTTCCACTGTGTCACCGAGCAGACTGGCAAAGACTTGTTAACCTGTCAGGAACAGTCACCTGGCAAAGTCTTTAAAATCCACTAGTAATTGCATAAACTCAAGCTGAGATTAATTACCCCTGTCTTAATTCTGGACCGGGTTGTGACGTTACTCTTTCATCAAAGGCGACTTATGTCAGCTACTGTAGGAAATAATTCCACCTAACTATTAAACAAATTTCAAACTAAACACATTTCAGGAGGACTGTGGGCTGAACGAACATGGAAATTTGTCAGATTTAAGAGAGGATAAGAAAAGCAGTTGAGAGTTTGAAACTTACGTTTTATCTTCCAAAAATCATTTACACCTGCGATGTCGAAGTCAACAGGAACCCTTGTCAGTTAACATGTTATTGCTTTGTGTTCCTCGTCCATTATCTTTTCCTTTACCGGAAAGAATAGATTTTTCTGTGCTCACACAGAGTTAAGGGATGTTGCAGCACCCTGAGCTGAGCACACTGCCAAACAAATGGTCATGAAGGCTTTGCTTGAAATTTACCAAAGTGGAACTTGGAGTTAGTCTGTGGTTGTGCATCTCTATGAGATCTGCTCTAAGACAGATAGGAAGGTTGGCAAATTCAATCTCTACTTTCAGGAGAGATTGTCGACACCGCTACATTACCGTCTCACCTCCACCCCACTCAGTTTTTCCAGCTCAGACTCCCTCTCAGGTGCAAAAACAGTTGGAATTAGTCGACAGGCTCTTTACTAATTGAGGGTGGAAAATATTGTATCAGTCCCAGTGGAGCAGGGGCATGGAACAGCTGAGGGAAGAGACGAGAGGGAAGAAAGGCTGACTTAGATGGATGGAGGGATTACGGACTTGGACACAGTTGAAGGGAAATGCAAAACTTGTTTGGCACAGGAGCGTGCTTTTGTTCAATGCTCCGCGGTTCGACTCCAGCAGAAGTCGTGCGCATGATTGCATGAGTTTTTCACATAAGCAGTTTGATAGTCTTTCAAAGAAACCCCCTGAAAGCAGGGACAGAGGGGATTCTGGAAACCCTTCTCGCGAAGCGATGACATTTCAGCACCGTCGCAAAAAACCTTGAGAGGACAGGCTAACATTTGTAAAATCTCCAAAGTGTTCCAAGAAAAATGTTCTGCCTTGAGAGCACACATGTGGAAATGTACACAGCAGTCACACACTGAAACACAAACACTAACTCCTCCAGATAGCCATTTCTGAAGTTTGTTATCGGAATCAGGCCAGTTCTGAACGTTTCTCTCGTAAAGTGTTTGTTAATAAAACCAAATAGAAAAAAATCGACAAGGACTAAACATAGATCATAGTCCGCATGATTACAAACTACTTTACTGTACAAGTTACTATAAATAGACTTCCCGAGCACAATAGTACAGTTGTTTTAGGTGCCAAAAGGGAGGACTTCGACATGTTTTCTTTTTAACCTATGTCTAAGACGAAAATGGGGAAAAACACACCCAAGTGTTTAGAAAAGCAGCAGAGGCAGGTACACATCATATCCTGTCCAGGGTCATCGGTCACCGGCTGCTAATTAGACTGAGCTGCAACACAACAGCTGCACTGGTGCGCCCAGCGACGGCTTCATGATCAATTACAACAGTGAATGCTGAGTCAAGTTCCCCTGACAGATGAAATTGTGTATTTCAAACTAAGGCTTGTTTTTACCCATTCTTTCCTTCTGTTTCATTTCATGGCTCTTTTGCTGGCGGGTCTCTCTCTTTGCTTCATGTTTTTGAAATCCCATTTGAAAAGGTGGCGTGTTGCATTTGGGTGTGTAAGGCTAGTTACATCAAAAGAAATAAGATCACTCATCCAGGGCCGGCCCAAAGTACGATCAGCAGTTGCAGCTGCTTAAATCCATGAATTTAAATCCATATGGCACCGATTGATTGATAAGTTCAAATAATTATGTACAGCAGTTGCAATAGATATTGAGCAAATTGATATTTTCCTTAGTTTAAATATTGCTGATGGAGTCACGGGCATGAAATTCACACCACATGATTTCAGCAACTCAAGTAATTCTCACATA